ACGTGCCTGGTCTGGGCTTTTTGGAACGGCGTCAATGGGTTAATTGCACCGATAATAGGGAAAGGTCATCGGTGTAAAGCGGTGTGAGCCAATGGCTGGCAAGTAAATTGTTTAGGAAAAAGTTGGTCAATTGGTTGTCTGAATTCGCTGAACCATAACATAAGTCTTCAAATTACTAAAAAAACGATCTTAAGCAAAGGAAGTGAGCTGCTATCGAGCACTCAAATAAAACCAAGAAGTGAAGTCATAAAAACTGATAAATAATATAAAATGCATGATTAATATATTTGTGTCAGGTGTTTCCGGCCAGTCCAACCCCTAATACGTGTGCAAATGCCGCAAAGAAAAAGTGGGAAATTATAAACACCTGGCTACTCCAAAATCGCCTGTGTTTGAATTTTGCTCTTGGCATTTGTGATTGGCAATGCAGTCTGTATCGTTACCCTGGTTGCAATGTGCATTTATAGGTACAGGTCGGGCCAACGAAGTATGGAGATGACTATTCGAACGCCCATAGAACATTCGTGATGCTATTGCACTGGCTGCGAGTGTGTGTTCAATGTGGCACAAGGACTCGTACACGTACGTGCATGTACGTACATGTACGGGTGCATTAACCTGCCTGCGGACGCCTCAAGTTACCCGGTTATTCGATGATACGACGGCTCAACCCTCGAAGGGTTCCTAAAAGAAAAGTTACGGAAGTGCAAACGCCTGCAGAAAAGTATTTGTGCAGTTTATGGCGAAACTGGATGGGAACTTTCAGATCGGATTTCGTGTCGAAATTTTAATAGCGCTTGTTGCGGTCGCCCGTGGATGAATCATTTGTAGAAGTTTTGCCTTTTTCGCAATCACCAAAGCAAACAATAAACGCAACGATAACGCTGAAAGTGAAGCGCAGGTGCGCCTGTGTGCGTGCCTATCTCTGTGGCCATGTGTGTATCTGTGTGTTGGCCCACTACACAGGTGTTGTTGCTGCCAATGCACCGAAAAGAATTCACCACGTTCTACGGCTATTTTCATAGTTTATAGTTTATATTGCCTAAAGTTATTCTTTATCTCTTTTAATTTGTTTACTTTGCTTGCTTTTGTAAAATTGAATATAAATTTGAATAGATATCCAGAGTTGCTTAATATTTTGATATATTATGTTTTCGCTTTTGTTTTGTTATGACCACTGTATTCTCTCTGTGTGGCTTCATCTCACTGTTTTTACAGTTATGCTCCAGTTGATGACGTTGCCGTGGCAACTTGTTGCGGCTTCTATCCGTCATTTCACTATCTAATCGCGATTTTCCAGCCATTACCACTCGCATTTTAGTTTCAACTTTTGTGTGTGCTTCTCACTCACAATAACTTTCTTGGCCAACGCCCCGAAAAGGTAACAAACAAAAAATAACACCAACCATAACCAAAACCAAGACTGAAAACAAGACGGGGAAAAAACGTAACGCAGCTGAAATGACCGTTTTTGAGTCGTAGACTGAAACTCAGGTAAGCCAGGTAAGCGCAATGTGCCGTCCAAAAAACCGCTTCTCACGCACACCAGCCAGCGAAACTCAGTTAACACTCACACTCAGTTGCCGGCTGTTACCAACGATTCACACACAGATACTCAGGTGTACGAGTGCCCACCGACCGATGCTTTCGTTGTATTGAGCGCGCGCAGCTTTAAACGAACTCTCCTCTCACCTGAGCGCAGTTTTGGCGGCAGAACGCAACCAACCAACCGACCAGCTCTTTCGAACGCTGCCGACGAACTGACGGCCAAGTGAACCCGAACCCGAACGCAACACGAATCTTCAATAGTAGCGCAATCGGAAGAGAGCCGGCTGCGTCCGCTGAGCAGGAGCGGAACTCGACTTGGCGTGGGTGCTTCGAGTGGAGCCGGGAGCGGAGTGAGGGCAGCAGATCGAGAGGCGCCTGGTTGGAGGGGCTCGCAAAATAATACAAGGATCGGGGAAATCACATTGGAGTTGCAGTCGCTAATAAAAAATAATCAGGTACAACATTAGGAAAGCATCTACAAAGATGATAATAGGAGTATCTCAATAATATCTATGGGGAGAAAAAACCGTAATTGACTTAATACATAAATAACAATCCCAACCTATTAAATACTTACACTTTTAGAGCCCAGTTTAGTGAAGTTTTGGGTGCGAAATTAGCTATTAAAATATATTAAGCAAAATATTATGACAATGATCTGGGTAAAGGCCAACTAAATCAATCAATAAGGTATTTTTAGGGGAGTTGCTTATATAATTTCAAAAATAAAGTTATGCAACAAGCAATAAATATTAATATTCTGAATTTATTATACAAATTGAAGTCTTGTCATTCAAAGAAAGACGTTCTATATACGATAGTAATGAGTTATCTTTGCATGACAAAACGGAATACAATTTTGCATAATTTCTAATTGAATTCTATTATATACGACGCGGCCCAGACGATGGATGGATGGATGGGTCGTGATTCATGCTTCGAGCTCCGCCAATTGGCGATCGGTTCACATTTTGACCCCGTCTTATTGAGCGGGCTGCTGGGCGTAGCTGCTAATTTTAATTATAACCCGAGCGGCAGAGCTTCCGATGTCAAAGATGCGGGAAGCAATTAAAGCACTTGAGCATTGAGACGCTTTGTTTACAATGTTGACCCCTGCCTTATTAATGAAGTGCTTAAGTCAATTAGGCTAAAGAAAAACTGCATTTGTACTGCTGAGGAGCAAAAATGACAGTTAACCCGAAAGCGAGTTACAAGAATACTTGTCAAATTGGGATTGATATTTATTTAAAACGGATGTGGACTTTAAAAGAAAAATATATAAGCACAACATCATGAAACATAAACTTTCTTATTCCCAAAAATTATACGACGCTTGTAGAGAAGTTTTATATAGTGTTTTTATGCCATTGTTGATCAGGAATCATTAAACTAGAAGATTTTCATAATGAAAAATGCTGCATATTCTAAAGTGTGACATGATTTGCGTATTTGGATACAATTTATATTTAACTATACTACAGTTATAAATTCATATTTGCAACTTCTGTTCTTATATCCATTCATTTCAAATGTGCGCGCCAACCCATCACTAATCGAACTAATGCTCCGCTATTTATCGGGCAGGCTCCAAGAGCTGTTCAACACTGCACACTGTTATCGCCTATCGACTCCTGCAGCTGTTTTCAAGCGAGAAAAAAACTCGGAACAGGAAAACAAAGATTCTGGAACTCGTGGTTGCCGCAGGAGCTGATTGTAAATAAGGACCCAACTGGAAACCACCGAGCACATCAGCCGCAGAGCCATGGAGCCGCCAGCGTCGGCCGGAATCGCCGGCTCGACGCACAAGTTCCATCCGTGCGATGAGGCTGTGATAGCCACCAACGACGATGCCAGCGATTGCAAGCGATGTGCGGTGCGGTTGGGCTACTGGAAGGACGACTATATCGGGTACTTCGTGCGCAATCAGGAGCGCAAGGCGCCGGAGATCAATCGCGGCTACTTTGCCCGCGTCAAGGGCGTGGAGATGTGCGTCGAGAAGTTTCTAAAGGTCAGTTCATCTGGCGCGGCTCCCAACTGTCTGGCACGTGCCAAGGTCATCCTGTTGCATTGCTGCATCAAGGCCGTGCCCAACATGCCCGCCACACCGCGCATGTCCATGCCAGTCTGACCTTGCCCTAACCGTCTCCCACCTCTTGTCCATACAGAAAACCTCGGGCAACTGCCAGATCATTAATCTGGGCTGCGGCTTCGACACACTCTACTTCCGGCTGAGGGACACCGCCCACCAGGTGAAGAACTTCATTGAGCTGGACTTCCCCACGGTCACCGCCCGCAAGTGCTATACAATCAAGCGCAACAAGGCCCTGCTGGCCAGGATTCACGACGAGGATGGTGAGGTGCGGCTCAGTCCCACAGATCTACACGGGCCCAGCTACCACCTGATGGGCGTTGACCTGCGTAACCTCGACGAGGTGGACAGCAAGCTGCAGCAGGCAGAAGTTGATTACTCCCTGCCCACCATATTCCTTGCCGAGTGCGTTCTGGTCTATATCGAGGCGCAAAACTGCCGGAACCTGCTCAAATGGATTGCGCAAAAGTTCCAAGCAGCCGTCTTCGTCAACTACGAGCAGGTTAGCATGCGCCACCATTTGTTTCTCATCCACGTATTGCATAAATTCGTTGACCGCCGTAGGTCAACATGAACGACCGCTTCGGCGATGTGATGCTCAACAATCTGCGCGGACGCGGCTGCAGCCTGGCCGGCGTGGAATCCTGCTTGTCGCTGGATACGCAGAGGAACCGCTTTAAGGACAGCGGCTGGACTGGCGCCCGTGCCTGGGACATGGTGCAGGTGTACGAGAGCATCTCGGCGGCTGAAAGGCAGCGTATCGAGCGGCTGGAAATGCTGGACGAGGGTGAACTGTTGCTTCAGCTCTTCCAGCACTACTGCCTGGTGGTCGCCTGGCTGGGCGTGGCCTTCCAGGACATAGATATCACGTGCGTGCCAGTGTAAACATTCGTGCCTAAGCGACAGCGCTCTCTTACGATTCCTGGTAATCAAAGTAACTTTCTTCTTTCTTATATTCCTACGCAGCGTCGAAGAGTTAATGTCCTCCCTGAACATTGACTAGGAGCGGTGAGGGAGGAAGGGTTAAAGAGCCAACCTACTTGGATGCACTGTTTATTGACTCTTTGCTCTGTTTGGAAGGCCATGCCAAAAGATTTTGCTTCTCAACGTGTTAAACTAAACAGCAAATAATTATAGAAAAACCATCGAAATCAAAACATGTTTACATATTTATCTTACACAGACCCACTCACAAATGATCTAATTTGTATTACTTTAGTTGTTCCTTATATATTTTTTCTCTTGTTACATTTTAATTATTTAATCGCTTAATATTTACTATTTTATCACCGAGTTATGGCACAAAATATTGAGAGGTGATCAATACGCCATCCATTCATTCCCCAATTTAAGTGTGCGTTTAAAGTGTAAATGTATTTTGAAACTAATTAAAAACCAAACTTAATTGCAAAAAGGGCAGTAGTGTATATATAAATGCTCCTGGGTTACAGCTTACTGCGCACTGCAAATCAAAGAAGTATACCGGTTCTTAAAGTGTACATTTTTGTTAATCAGCTGAATCTGATTCACGATCTAATCATCCTTCTTCACCTTGGCCATCTCGCGAGTTCTGCAAAGTGAATAAAAACAATAAGATTATGATGACTATGAAGGACTGCAGCTTACATCGCCCGTAGTTCCTCCAACGTTGGCACTGGAATACGTGAAGATTCGGTTTCATCCTCCTTGGACGCCTGTTCGGGGTGTTTTTTCCACTTGTGGGAGCGGCAGTTCGTGTTGCTGGCGAACGCCTTTCCGCAGTACTTGCACACATAAGGTCTGAGGCCCGTGTGTCCCAGGAGGTGGATCTTCAAGGCCGTGGAGTTCTTGCAGCCGCTGCCACAAACCTCGCACTTGAAGCGTCGCTCCTCTGTGTGCACGTACTTGTGCTTGTTAAGAATCGCCCGAGTCTGCAGTTTTTTCCCACAGATGTTGCACTCAAACCTGGGCTCACCATGTGTCTGGCTGTGCACCTAGAAGTGATAAGAGAATTCCATGATTAGTTGGACACAAGATTATTCGTTTACACCTACTCTCAGCCTGGCCTTGTTCTTAAAGCCAGCATTGCACACGGGGCATATACAGGGCTTCTCATCCGTGTGAACCAGCTGGTGCTCCACCAGCGATGTGAAGGTCTTTAAACCCTTCCCACAGTGGTCGCAAACGAACCTCTTCGGACCGCCGTGCATGTCGTGCTTGTGCCTGCGCAGAGCCATGAAGGACATAAAGGTCTCGTTGCAGGCTTTGCATGTGAAATCGACAAAAGGCGAGCTTTGGGAGCCATCCTCATGGGGCGACAGGCTCAACTCGGATGCCTTGTTATATGGTTTGCTTTTGGCAATGTCGTCTGGTTCGTGGGAAGTTAAATTGTCGCTGTCGTCCAGGCTTCTCTGTTTGCCTGTACCCTTGGGTCTGCCTCTTCTTCGTTTCAAAGGCGGCGGCGACAAGGCCTCATCTTCGTCTAGGATGGGCTCCTCATCATCCGACTCCGCTGGACTGTACAACTCGGAATTTCGCTTAGCAGCATTCTGTTGCCTGCGACCGCGTTTTGTTTGAGCTTCGGGTTTTGATGCGGTAGGTTCGAATTTACACTGTTTGAGATTAGCTCGTCTCCGCACGGTCTGGGCTTCAAAATCTGGAGACGGAGATGTGGAATGTTCTGATATCGTTAGCTCCTCCACCAAGGAAGACTTGTCCTCCGGATCGTCCATGTCCAGGAACTCAAGGTTCCGCTTGCAGGCCGGCGGCAGGCCATATTCCAGACGCAGTGCGTCCAAGTCCTGGCTATCCTGCGGATCCGAGTGTCGCAGGAGCTCAAAAATGGCTTGCACTTTGGTAACGCTCTCCGAGAAGGTCACCAGCTGGCCAATCACCGAGTAGCACTCCTCGCACAACATGCTGCCCAGTTCCGGTTCCTCGAGGGTCATCTGCGTGTGTGGGAAAGTAATGTATCAGATATCTGGAGGCTAGGAACACGAATAACGTACCTCTACATCAAAGCATTTGCTGATGATCTTTACCAGATCGTCGTCCCGCTCGCTTACTTTGTATACAACGTCGTCGCGGGCGCACAGGCGACACCAGTATATCCAATCGCTTGTGGGTACTCCCATGGCTAATCCTGAAGAGAAATCCAACAGTTTAGTACAGTATGCCCTCGGATCTTGACTAAATTCTGCTTTACGAACGCCGATTAAAATCAGCTGATTGCAGCGGAAATCGATTAGTGGTATACGCCATCCGATGACTTTCGCGATATCGATAAATCCAAAGCAACAAGTTTCTGCCGCTATTTTCAAAATGTTTATTATTATCATAAATTTATAGATAACTTTGGATATACAAAATTTTGTTTTTGTCTATTACTCGTACAAGATATAACAATTTTTCATAATTTTATCAATAAATAATAAGTTACATTTTCCAAAAGGGAAAATCTGAAAAACGAAAGCAATGTCTGGTTTGTTTTGTCATAGATTGCAGTATTTAAAGGGTTTCCACTTATGATATCATATATATATGTACATAAAGATTATTATTTTTAAAAATCAAGCGAATGAGTTTCTAGATATTGTTTTTATTACTCGGGTTGTGTATAACTAATATAATAATTTAATTTGAACTTAGAACTGCATAAAACTGGATATACAAATCGAATTATAACACATTTCAATACTATTTACAAGATGGAATGATAAACTACATCGCAACGTCTTCCATCTAGTTCGTCTCGTTTTCCGCCCAATTCTCGATGGTGTAATAGGCCTTGAGGGCCAATTCGTCGTCCAGCGTTAGCTCGCCCAGGACCAAGGGGCCCAATTGTTTGTCGACCATAACGTTCTGCCAAAATCCTCTGCAACTGTTGGCCAACGTGATTTTCTTCAGCTCCTCAGCGAACTTGTCGTACTCCAAAAAGGAGTTGAAATCTATACAGCTCTGCCGGTACAGGGTGATGATCTCGCCCAGTTGCTCGATGTTCTGTTTCTTGCGCTCCAGCAGTGTGATGATCACCACGCGGGTATCGGCAGCCAGCGCCTGAAAGCGGGCATCTCGCTCAGTGGCATTAGCGATGGAGCGAACGCTGGCCAGGACTCGTTTGAAATCGGTGCCAGGATCGATTAAGCCCACACCGTCTGAGGGCATCGGGAGTTCCTTCTCCGCTGGTTCCTGCTTGACGGCCACACCATTCTCTGCCTGCTCCTTGGCCAGTAGCTTTTCCTGCCAGGCGCGACTGTAGCGCAAGGGAAATAGCTTCTTTACTGTGGCTGCCGCTCTCTTTGACTTCTCCTCCAGGGGTTCTGGCACTCGCCAGAATACATCCGCGAAGTTCTTGTCCTTGAGTGCTATGTCGTCCTTGTTGTTACTATGGATGACCTTTCGCTCTAGGACGTCCATAATATTCTGCTCAAAGATGCTGGGTAGTGCGTCGAAGGGCAGCAGATCATTCTGCGCCCACGGACGTGGTTGCTGCGTGTCCCGCAGTGTGCACTCCAGATCGGTGCTATCGATCAACTCGTCAATGGCATTAAGCTGGTCCTCGCTGCACTCCGTCTTGGCGGTTCGTAGAGCGGGAAAGTCCCAGAAGTGGTGCTGAGACGTGTAGGAAACTTCCAGCATATACAAAGTAGCGGGATGGGTATCGTCTGCTACGCGGGGCAGCAGCACAACCATTTGCGGTCTATTGAACTTGCTGCTGAATATTTTCCAGCATAGTATGGCCCTATCCAATGAAACGAGCGCGCGCACCAGAGCGTCCAGCTTCACTGCGGCAGATTGGTTATGCTTCTGGTGTACCAGAAGGTACAAGGACTCGCCACAGAAGTACTCATCGGGGACGGCATTTCTTTTGATGAACCCAAAGAAGTGCAGACCAGGCGGGTGTGGATCTTTTGGCTCTAGCACGGCCTCGTCATATGGCACCGGAGTGCCGCCCAGCATGTAACCAGTTATGAGGTTCTCCGGCAGCGGCGTTACCTCGGTGCCCTTGATAAAATGCCGGGTCTCCCGAATCACTATCTCGTCCTTCTCCGCCCAGACCTTCACCAGCTTTACAGGCGTCTGGTTCTTCATGGCGATAATGCCCTGCAGGCTGATGGAGATCTTGCTGCCGATGTTCAGCTTGGCGTTCCACACCCAGGGTCGTCGGTTGGTCACCTTGAAGACGGTATGCAGTGCCTCCTTGAAGCTGCACAGCGTGGCATTGCAGCGGGGAACGAGGCTGAGGGCGTGCTTCTGGTTCTTCAGCTCATCGGGGCCGCATTTGCGCGAAAAGTTGAAGATAGCCTGCGGCTGAGCGGTCTCGGTATTGTCTACGTAGGCTATGTTGTGCGTTCTGAGGGATAAAGAAATCGAATTTTACTACGGTGGTCAGTTTGATCAAAGACACTAGAATAATAAGATGCGTAACGGCCATACATACATATATTATATATTATATGTATATATTTATTTTTAGTCGACACTAATTTTTCATATTTGAGATAACCATAATGAGAAATCGCGATTGCTAGAGTACAAATAATATAGATTTTTGTTTAGGAAACATATTGTATGTATGTATGTATGTAACTATGTATGTATGTATGTATGTAACTATGTATGTATGTATGTATGTAGTGTATGTGTTACTTGCACAAAGTAGTAAAAATTGTCTCAATTAAAGCCTGAAGAATGTTTAACTTACTGTCGGAACACAAAGATATTGCCGCTTTTAATATTTGTTAGGAAACATATTGTCTTGTAGCCCTATAATTCCCAACTAGTTCTAGTGAGGACTGTAAGGCATGTCTTCTAATTTCGAGTCGAAAGTAGTTCAAGTTGTCGGTCGAGCAGTGAGTGTAGTGTATGAACCGATGTATGTATGTAAGTATGTATGTATGTATGTATGTAGGGATGTATGTATGTATGTAGGGATGTATGTATGTATGTATGTATGTATGTAGGGATGTATGTATGTATGTATGTAGGGATGTATGTATGTATGTATGTAGGGATGTATGTATGTATGTATGTAGGGATGTATGTATGTATGTATGTAGGGATGTATGTATGTATGTATGTATGTATGTATGTATGTATGTATGTATGTATGTATGTATGTTATTTGCACAAAGTATTGTCTTAATTAAAGCCTGAAGAATGTTTAACTTACTGTCGGAACACAAAGTTATTGCCGCTTTTAGTATTTGCTTAGGAAACATATTTTCTTGTAGCCCTACTATTCCCAACTAGTTCTAGTGAGGACTGTAAGGCATGTCTTCTAATTTAGAGTCGCAAAATATTTCAAGTAATCTCTCTTACCGGTCGAGCAGTGAGTTTAGTGTATGCGTTCTTAAGTGTGATTACTCGCAAGATCAAATTGGCATCCCTCTTGATCAAATAACCGGGCAAATGTTATTCATACAAGTATTTGAAATGTTATAATATTTATTTTAAAATATTTATTCATAAAAAATATTTAAAATACAATATAAAATTATTGTAAAGAAATTGATTACCCTACACTGAAAGGGATATATATTTTTATGTTTATTCGTATACAAAGTGCTACTAAATTAATCTCGAGCTGTAAGTAATTAAATAATAAACTATTATTTTGTCATAATTATATTAGCAAGTGAAATAGTGAGGTCTTTAAAGTGAATAGTAAATATGGCCTTAAATAAAGCATACAAAATGCCCGAAACGTATTTGAAACGCATTGGCACAATGGCAACGTATGAATCAAACGTATGAATCAAAATCTGTCCTGTTTTTTCATCCTTTTTTGAAATTTTCAGCCTATTTTTTCCGTTTTTTTTTTCTCAATTTTTTCAGAAAAATATTGGCTGCTGGCTCTAGAGCGCTCTCTCTCTCTGGCTCTTGAACAAAAATTCGAGAGAGCCTGGAGCGCTAGTCCGAAAAAATCGTGTACAAAAAAATCGTATGGCGCTACGCATCTTATTATTCTAGTGTCTTTGGTTTGATGGATAACCCGCATGTTATTTGAGTTCAAGAACTATATATAAAATCTAATATAATGTTGTATAAATACAATAAATCTTCTTACCCGACAATTAACTCAATGTTTTCGGTAAGCAATTCGTCCGTGATGTCGTTGAACTTCTCGTAATCCTGTGGGAAGTCGTTGAAATCGAAGAGCAGGAGAATCCTGCGCCTGGCGACTCTAAAGCTGCAGGGAATATTCCATAAAGTGTGATGGTTAACTATACGGCTAAGCCACCTACGAGCTTGCAATTTGCTGAAGATCCAGAGCCGTCTGCAGGCCATTTAGCCATTCTCCTTCCTCGCAGGCCGTCTGATTCACAAAGTCGAAGAAGTCAAGCAAGAGCTGCCAGCTGCAAAGTCGTGGATCACCAAAGGGGATCACATGTGGGTAAGTTTTCTTTTCGTTGGTGTCGCAACCCACCAGGACGAAGGACACGTAGTCCTTCCTATCGCACACGATCTGCAATTGATTCAGTTAGCATTGTACACCGCATTCCCAAGGTATCTCTCCCACCTTGTCCTTAAGAATCTCAGCCACACATTTTGCGGATTTCAGCTTCACTTCTTCGGCGGCACATGTTCGCACATCCAGCACGATTATAAGGCATTCCTGGAGATCGAAGTATGCAGTTACGTTAACGCTGAATGCAATAGTTTGCAATCTTACCTTGTTGGACGCCATCAAGCAACTTTATTTATCAAATGCACTCTAGTTTTTAAATTTCACAACAATAATACCCTCCAGCCGATAACAGAAAACCCCGCCGGCTGAGTGACCAAATGCACTACCGCCTATCGCATATCGATAGTTCCAAAACCGCGTTGCCAACTTACTCATTGCCTGCTGTTACTTTTCAAATTTAGTGCACATTGTGTTCTAATTATAAATAGCCATTATATTTGGTTCGTGTTCAAAAATAATAATAGTGCACATTGTGTTCTAATTATAAATAGCCATTATATTTGGTTCGTGTTCAAAAATACTAATGAAATGGTAAAAAATAGTTCCTTATATTTGCTATATCTTTCCGTAGGTCTGCAGTTTTTCCAAGTACTCCGCATTTTGACTCAGGTGATTGAATATCAGGTTCGTATCCAGGACGTTCGTCGCAGGACCTCCGTATTCCGCGGGCAGACTTTCGTAGCCAACCATTTCGCGGAGCTTGCTAAGATGTCGCCCGTCGTGGGTAAAGATCTTTAAAGCGGTGAGTTTAGAGTTAAGCAATTGACATCTAGTGTAGTATTACCTTTTCCTTGAATTCCTTGTTCATGAAGGGCATAAACAGCGTGGAGGTTACGTGCATCAGGAAACCGCGTTGTATTATATGCACGATACGCTGACTGAAAGGCAGCACTCCGTTCTTTTCGTTCACCACCTTCATAAACGCTGGCGAAAATTGTCGCAGAAAATTTCGGGTTGTCCTGGAAAGTAGCAATCGAGATTACTAATGAAATCACCATCTTCTTTGATAGGAAAATGAAGATTTAAACCTATCAATTGTCTTGGAAAGACTCTATTCACTCGATCATTAAAATCTAAACTAAATATCGTGAACCCACCCTTGGAGATCACAAATGACCGTAATCCCATTCTGCTGGACGCGCGGGAGCAGCAGGAGCGACTCGAAGATCAGGTCGTCCATCTCGACGAGACTCTGCAGATAGTCGGGGTAGTCCTGGAACCCATCCACCGTCTTGAAGACGACCAGCACCCGTCCATTGCGATCCACCTGGGGCATCACGTAGCGGCAGTGGGTGCCGTAGAAGATCTGACGATAGTGCTCAATGGGGTGGCGGGCCACCCAGGTGGGATGGCGCCTCTTGAACTCATAGTAGGCGTGTATGGCCTGGTAGGCTTTGATGGTGTCCCAGCGCGTGTAGTGCAGGAATTTGGTGAGCAGGGTGTCCTCGGTGCCCACTCTCAGATCCTCGCACTCTGAAACAGTTTCACCTGGGTGATCGAATCGAGGCATTCACTTCACGTTTTGCTTACTCTCCACCAGCTGCCTGAGTTGTTCAATTTTGAAAATCTGCTCGGCCGTGTGATCGACTCGGGCGGTGAGGAAAAGCATTTTAGGCTACGAATTTTGAACGTATTATCGTCCCAAAGGTATTTTCTAATTTTGATCGTAGTTACACACTCTCAATCCGTTAACGATCCGCACTCGCAACGCAAACAACGCTCACTGACTAAAATATCCATGAAATGCGATTTGGTAACGATATCTTATTTGCTTTATAACCGGTGCGTGATCAAATTGCTAATGGTTCCAAATCGCTTAGGAATACATTTCTAGTGTGCAGCTTGAACTTGGCTTCTTTGGTGTTTTATGGCTTTTAATATGTCATATTTGTACCTTTTAGTTGATATGAATGTAAGTAATATAGTTTCTTTAACACTTTTTCAAGCCTACACGAACTCTTGGTATTTAATCAATTACGAATCCAAAGACACTTGGACCAATGACCTCCAATGCAGCAAAGGCCTCTTCTTCACTGGAGTTATCAACTTGACCCAACCACGTATCTTAGCCACAATTCAATTAACCCGCAAGGGCGGCAGGCAGTGGAGTCAATGGGCGTTGAGAAAAACGTCAAGTCGAAAAGCGGAAAAAGCAGTCGACACGAAAGGAAACTATAAGTACGATAATTGAAGAAAATGTCAGCTACACACGATGCTACGTGACTTAATAATGCCCCTTGTCTGCTCATAATAACGGCCACAACGTGTTGCTTCATTTACAGATCTATACAAGATGAGAATGCTATAGTCGAGTTCCCGACTATCAGATACCTGAGTGTATACCAAAGTATACCAAAGATACCAATATACAAAGATACGAGAAATTTCAACATTTTCTGGAATATTTACAACTTCAGCCTTGGGACTTTTTAATTATCATAACATCAGAAAAATGACAAAAAACTTAAAAAAAATAAAATTCTAAATTTGAATGCAGATTTATAGAGAATTGCTTCAGAAACATTTAGAGGTATGCCACTTCAAATTCCGATAAAGATAAGTTGAGTTATGGACTTAAGAACTTCAGCCTTGGGGTATTTTTAAGTTTTTTTAATTTCTACAATATGACGAAATATCTACAATTAACGCATATGTAAGCGCAAGTTTACTTTAAAAATGTGAAACAACCACAAATATCTATAATGCTTAAATCAGTCTGGCTTATTAAATTATTAAAAATTATTAAGTTGAATTGGTATATTTCGGTTTAACGATAACTAAAAATTCAAGTCAAGTAGAAGCTACAGAAGTTCTACATATCTCTCGCCCTTCCATTAGCTGAGTAACGGGTATCTGACAGTCGGGTACTTGACTGAATTAAAGTTTGTTTAATTTTATGTTTGTAAAGTTTGAGTACTTTTTGAGCGGGGCAGGTGTATGCCCATTAGAGAGGGTTTCCAAAGGCGCTTAAATCGTGACATTCGTAGAAATGTTGAAATTAACATTGATATTCGATTGACAAGTTAATAATAATGGTTCAGTTATTGTGATGGCATTGTAACTGCTTAGATTTGCACATACACATATATTACTTTTAATTTGCTTAATACAGTATTTATATAACAGCGCCAATATTTTCAAATTTCGTTTTGTTGGTTGATTAGGCCCAAGTTTCTCTGTTAGGTAAATATTAAATATGGTTTTTACCCTAATTACTAGCAAATGAGTTAAAACCTATTTGTGATTTGGCAATTCATAACGTTTCGGTTGTCTGGAATGCAATTTGCATTCATTTCAATAATTTAACAAAACTTCCAACCCATAAAACTGCCAAAATTTGTCTCGCTTTTGATTTTTAGCATTTCATGTAATTCAAATTAGCCCTTTACAAATGTTTCGCCTGCGACTTTTTGTAATAATTCGAAATCTATAAATAATAAATTTAATTTGTATGCTAAATAATAAACATTTGGGTTTTGCGGTTTGTTTTTGGCCATGTTTTGTTTTGAGTAGCGATTGTTTGCACGCAGATTAAATTGCGGTCAGCTGGATTGCAGGCCTTATGACGGTAATCAAGTTGCAATAATTCACCAAAAAACAGTTTGGTTTATTAGGAAAGCTAATCAAGATTGGAATATCAAGGCAATAAAGGTGTTGAAAAAAACGTATTATGTTTACGCTTTACTCAAAATTATGGACTTCATTTAAATTGCTTTCAGCTAGGAACTAAGTTTAAATAAGCTTTTATATTTATTTTTTCTCAGCTAATGCGTTAATAAAACCTAAGAATTTTCAATAAGCATCTTGGGAGGATAGTTTTGAAAATTTAAAAAATAAAAAAGAGTTTTCGGCGTGCTTTAAAATAGCATTAAAAGGGGCATCAACATATCACATTGATGTCCACAAATCACAGTACTGGTGACCCCGAAAACCAAATAAAAAAAATGTGCTTCATCCCAGAGGAAAAACTGCCAGAAACCAGAACAAATTGCAAGTGTTGTAAAGTGTCATTTTTCAACAGGACGGGCGGGCAATGTAGAAATAATCATAATGGCCAAGAGCATATTTGAGGAGAAATCTTGTAGAAACAATAGCAGGGAGCTCACCAAAAAAAAGGCTGCAAAAAGGAAAACAAGAAAAATGTGAGGAAATTTCGCTGGCACAAGAAAGGTTCGTAAAAGTAGAAAAAATCGAAGAAAAAAAACTAAACCAAATTCCAATTTGTCAGGAATTTGTTCAATTTTAGTTTTGCGGTGGCCAGGGTGACCGAATAAGTGGACCTCCCCCAAAGTCCGCCCACCCAAACACCCAACCACTCCCAGTGGATCGACCACCATCTGCATGTGCCACACGTGCCGCCATGCAAAACCCATAAGCATAAGGGGGGCGCCACCACAACCACCGCCCACTGGCCATTAAAGAGCTGCCACGACAAATCGCACACATTTAACACGCACACTCGGAACCAAGGGGTATTCAAGGGGGAGCGGTGATGGAAGGGGGGTGCGGGGCGAAGGACCCCTGTGGGGGAAAAAACTGCATACTTAACAGGCCCACAAAAAACCAGCAGGGGGGAACAGCTGGCCGCAATGGCTCAAACAACGTCGACAACTGGCCAACTCAAAGGACAATCGCTAGTGATGGGTTGCAAGGTAAGCAGTGTTCTAATGTTCCCAAAATTTCATTTGCCAGCTCAGATTTAGAGTATATTATTTGATATTGCCGATGCTTGTGCCATTTAATGTTCATTTACATTTAATTGCATTTATATTTTAGTACTCTATAAATCTGTTAACTGATTACGAGTGCCATGTATTCCTATGTCTTTTCCAATTTCAAATAAAAGTAAATCACAATTGGGAATTTAATAGTTCAGCACTTAGAGCGGAAACTCACATCCCATCGCTAACTGAATCCAGTCATAAGTTTTCCTCTGCTTGCGGCCTTTCCTAATGACATTTGTTTGCCGTCGCAGAGACATGTGCAACCGTTGGACCCGAAATACCTACATATGCATATGAGTTTGGAAAACTCAACCGAAGACTCCTTTCTCCGCTTTTCACAGTGACTGCAGCTTGCCAATTTTCTCGCTTTGGCTGGGAGAAATGAGCAAGGTTGAAGCTTGCGGCTCGGTAAACCTGGTGTAATTTGGCCGCTTTCATTTTAATTTCTTTTATTGGCAATAAGCGCTGTCTACTGCCGATAAGCAGCAAAATGATTGCTTAGATTTATGCTAAGTGCTAAGCGACGACGATGCCCAATGGCGATTTTTTATTGCCCCAGCATGCCAGATATATACCTCTCACTACACTTGATAAATATTTGCAATAAAAACAAAAAATTTCAAAAAAAAAGAAAAGGAAAACAGTGAATGGTTGGTGTCTTCGTGAAATGTTTTTCGGGTGGCAACAGATTGGGGGACTTTGTTATTTCCACTACCCCAGGCAGCATCATATTCCCCAACACCCCAAAACCAACTCCCCTATGGATTTGTGGCTGTGGGGCTTACGAAATCTGCCTGCGCTGGCGCTTCGAGAGTTTTAATTGAATTTTGAGTGGTGTATTTAGGGATTTGTTATTTATAATGGGAAGAGCACACAGCCGGGGGTCCAAGGAATGTGGCATTGGCCAGGTCCGATGAAGTGTGCAGCGTGATGAAAACGAACGATGGCATTTCCGCAGTATTACATTTCAATTTTGCATGGAAACGTGAAGCCGAAAGATGGCATTTCTAAGCCAGGTTATAAAAGAAATGATAGCCAATATAAAATATTTATTTTTTTCAGCTTTTGAGAGTCCCAACGTTAGATTGCAGATTACCACATTTCATTAGCAACTAACATTTTGTAGTATTACTTCAAAATTGAATAACTTGAAGTGTGTAAGTGATTTCATCCAAGCAATAGGAGCTCAGCTGCCAGGTATTCATTACAACACGGATCCAGGTTAAATAAACGGATATAATTTCAATTTTGCGGCGATGTGTGAGGTTTGCCAAATCGAGGCCTGCATCCTTGAAATATTGGAAATATTGGTTGTGTTCGCAATAACTTAAAGGTAAATATAAAGGAAAATTAAAAAGCATGGCTAAATAATTAAAATAAAAAACATCTCAGCAATATCGTTATTATTAGCTTATAAAATACAATTTCCTTAGCCTAATTTCTAGTATTCCAAAACTAATTAATGAATTACTGCATGCAAGGTCTTAAATTGTTTAGCTTCAACTTTCGATCGCATTTAAAAGGATAATAAAATGGTACATCTTTTACATGCCAAAAACAAATGGTTGGGTATTATTGTTTGGATTTCTACGCAAATTGTGTTATAAAAAGCAATTTGTTAGCGCCATAAAAGCTTGAACCCGTCATTCTTTTTCCCAATTCCGTTCGCTTTTTATTACAGTGGATGACCAATTTGAAGAGCAATATGTGCGGGGCGAATCGAAGCAGTTCTTTTGGCACCCCAATCATCGGGAATCAAACCGACCAACTGGTTTCCTACAGTAATATATACATAGCATACATGTGAATGAGTCTCCCAGCTCCTCGATGGAATTCACAGCAGCTATTTGTTTTGGCCAACATTTGCGGCACATGTCGCCTGTGGAGTGGATTTGGCTTTGTTTTTCTTTTACGACTGCGAGTGCATTTGTTGTTCATTTCATTTAAATTACCCTGTGGCTGACCTCCTTGTCACAACATGTCGGTGGCGTCATATTGGAACTGTTTTGTATCCCCCAATTCACAATCGAGTGCTCATTGTGCGTGTTTTCCCCCATTTTTCCCTTTTTTATTTTGAATGGGGCCTATTGTGGTTTTTTAATCAAGCTGTAGGTGAACAAATTTTGGCTAGCCAATTGTTGTACCTCGATCGCAATTAAAAGGGAAAATTCCAAAATGAATTCATTGTGGGTGAAACCAACAAAAAAGGGTGTACAAAAGATTTTCAATATATTGAAATTCTAACTAGTTACAACCTGCACTTCTTATTGGCTTAAATTTGTAAAAAAGACTGATGGGAAAGCTGTTCAATAAATGATTACCTTCATCAGCACCATTTTGATATAAATTCCAAGAACATTGAGCAGATCAGGGATCGTTGAATATATTAAAGCCGCTCAAGTTATTAAAAATGTATTTTTTTGATGCCGTTTATCACTTACTTGGCAACCAGTGCAAATAAAAGACCCTAAATTGTACGTATATACGACTACGCATGTACACGGCACTTAAAAATTATGACATATTCTTTGGCCCAACACACTCAACTGTGTGGAAACTCATGAGTATAATACATTTTACGATTGCGCTATATTTTTGTCTGCCAAAGCATGTAAAATTATTATTTGTCTGGCTGCCTCTGTGTGTGTGTGCATACTTTGTACTTATTTCAGACTGTCAGATAAAAAATATGTATGTATAAAAAAGCTGTACGGCGTTTTATTATATTTAAATTACACAAAGCATTAAATATAATTCACTCACCACGCTCCATTTACTAAGGCTATGTGATGGCACACACGAAGGCATTACTGTCTGCGCACATAAGTATGCAACAACAAAATGCCGTTGAAAATCGCTGTAATACTTTTTCATCAATTATATGATGCGCAAAAATATATATATGCTGAGATTTACAATATCAAACATGGCTAACACAGACACAAGCACTGCCACTGCCTTGGCAACACACACACACACACGCACACCCACTAATACACACACACACAAGCAAGGATATATGCCGACATGCTCTAGATGGCAAGCGCGTCATACTTTACTACTTACTAAATCCATTACAAAGTATTTACGTAGAAAATTGCTTTATATCTCTGCATATCTCGCAGTCGACGTCATCGTCGTTGTTATATCCCTGCGATTGTGCTTGTGTGTGAGAATGTGGAAGCTCTGATGGGACGAAAAAAAAGAAAGAAATTTAAGTACGTGGGAATAATAGTAGAGGGAAAAATCTTTTTAGTTGCGTCGCACTCCCTGGGAAAACCCAACCGAGAAACTCCCAAGGTAGTCGACATTTCCAACCCGCAGCCCCACACGAATCCACATTCCACAGTTCGGAGGCGAAAAGGCTGTGTGCAGCAATTTATGTGATTTTTTCCTAAATGTCAGTAGCAAATAAGAAAATATTAAAATAGATTTGTGCACTCTGAACGCAAAGACAATGGCTTGCCATTTACACTGAGATTCGCCTTCGAATATCAAAGATATTTTGTACTTTTCGTGAAGTTTAAATAATATATAAAAAAGTTACTTTATTGAAGGAGTCCAAAAGTATGCTTTAATATATTTTAAATAGAACCCTTGGTTCTTTTTATAAGTGTTTGCAAGACTCCTAGGACTCCATGGTTCCGTTTGATTGTTATACCTTACAAATTTTCCAAGAATTCCTATAGATAATATCCCTTCTGGTAGAAATATTTTTTCCAGTCTGACGAGTTCTCTGATGATTTCCATTGCCAAGATGTTGACGGTAAATCACAACCAGCTTTCCTCTATCTCAGCCAGCACGCAGTCATAAAAAAATGAAGCAAAAAGCATACCAAAAGCCAAAGTAGTAGGTTGCTGGCAGCGGAATGTGGGCGTAAGTGTGTGTAATTCATAGCGGATTTGCTTGCCGAGGGAATTATTCATGCGCACTTGATTGTGCACACAACAATGGAGTTGATCGTAATCAGTGCCTCATCATCATCATCGCAAACTACTGTAGCGGCGGTCAAGAAATGTTTTGCTACTGCGATTATCGGACGATAAATACACTATAGGATTTAAAAGACTATCAGGGAGCAGTGTCGTAATTTCTTAACAAAAATTCCATTCTATTTAGGGGTTTCCCAAGAGTCGCTTGCTACTTTAAGCAGACACTCCGGGCTCAGATCTCACACAAACAACAATGAAAATAAGTAAAATGAAAATACATATAACACAAAAAAATACATATAAATTTGTCGTGCAGCGGTGCAAAAAGGCAAAAGCTGCCTTGAATTGCACTACGAATCACTCTAGCGTGCTATCAATTACTGTGGCAAGTGTTGCACGTGCCACCGACACCGATCCGGTTGGGAGTCCTCTTCCACTTGTCCCACTTCCCATCCCGCCTCCTGGCACCCAGTAGGTCCTAGTCCTTTCATCCTGAACAGCTTGCTCATCTCATTGTGTTCCTTGGCATTTGCTCGCTGGCTTTCTATTCCAATTTTTCGCTTTACAATGCCCTGTATAAGGCGGCTAAAGGAGTATGATTTACCAACGCTAATATTAGTTAGTAATTATAATTTATAATTATGAAAATAAAGTTCACAGCATATATTTTAAATCTGAACAGCAAGGCTCACAACAATTAAAGAAGTATTGCTTATTCCATGCTGAATATTCACATTAAGTTTCTAAAGAATTCGCGCGTAGATATTTTTAATATCACAGTCATTCGTTTGTCGAAATAATTCCTGCTTTTACTTCGAAACTGTGTGGATAACTTACGATTGCTGGGTATCCCGTGGTCAAATCACTTGAGCAGAAGTATCTTTTGGTTTCCTTTTCTAATTTCTCGCCGTACTTCGGTCGTTGTCTTGGCTGCACTAGTCCAGCGTTCTGTAAGTGGCATGAACATCGCTGCATTTTCTTGACAATTTCTCAGCTTTTTTCTGCTGATGCTCCCTTCTTTTTGAGTGCTTTCAATTGTTGCACAATTTTTTAATTTGCTGCGTGGCTAAAGAAATGAAAGAGTTGCGTCGCACAGGGAATTTTAATCTAATGTGGGTGGCGCCCAACAAATCTGCCAGTGGAATTGTAAAACTTCAACATTTACAGATTATTGCCACATAGGTTTTAATAATTGACGGACGTCAAGCCAATTTAAGCGCCATCTGGCCACGAAGTCCCTGATATTTTAATATATGCATTCAATTAACCCCAAATGAGCACACAATTTTCACATATTTAGGCCCCACTCGAATGCCAAACAACGTCATAATAACTCAATAGGCCACAAAACAAAACAAACTTCACATCCCGTTCGTGTGCGTGTAATCCATTCGAATTGCAAGGCTCTTGAGTAAATTGCAATTTAATTTTATGCAATTTGCCGTGAGCCGAAATGCTTAAGTTGTATTGGAGCATAATGTCCTTGGGTCTACTAATCCCCAATGCTGGTGCTATTATAATTCAAAATAAGCCAAACATCAAAGGCAGTTTGTCAAGGTAGCACAACAATGTTTGAATACCCTTAAGGGCCTTCTCAATGCTAATAAGAGAACACATGCTTTTTATGCATTTATTTTACACTTTAAAAGTGTCAAACATAGCCATATCCGTAAGATGGCAAAATGTAATAAGCATTAAATTGCAACCTGCAGTGGCGCAAGGGATGCGAAAGATGACAACCAGTTGCAATTACAATGTAATTACAGGCGACAGACGGAGAAGGTTTTAAATTTTGTATGTGCCGGGCCATTGCCTGCATTTGGGTCTCCGACAAGGATTAGGTTGCATGAGGATGCATTTAAGCAGCAGCTTATGCCATAAACATGCTATGTGGAATGGCTCTCAGTGTCTGCCATAAAATGACGCTTAAAGTGTGGCACGTAATTGCTCGACCCTTTGTCCCTTCTGCTCGTTCATGATTTTAATTAGTATTAAGACTCTAAGTCCGTGTTTTGATTCTTAGGGCGCATTCCACGTGTAAGCTAAACCGACGCAGATATCCGAAGATGTTTGCCAATCAAAACTTGGTAGTAGCTGTAAATTAATTTCCTGGCCGGCTAATTCAGCAATTGCAGTTTCCAGCCTCAATTATCGCAAACTTGCTGCAGTGCATAAATTTCGATTCGCACACCGGTCGAATACAGAAATTGATGACTAATTTTGTGTGCTATGCAGTTCTATGTTAGTTGCAGCTTCGAGGAGCACAAATCTCGTGTGGTGTACATGCAGGACCACTGTTATGATCGCCTTAATTTATGGTTTTAAAATCCTGGGAAGGGTGTATAACACTACGTAGCAATATTTGTAGAATCGCTTAGACGACTCCTTCTTTCCAAGCGTAACTTTTTACAATTGCATCATCGAAATTGAAGAACTCAACTGGGATATTAAAGCACTCGTATTGCTCCGATTGAAATGACGCCAAAGTAAAGTACCGAAGAACAAGACTCCCATTCGCTTGTACCAATTGATAAAAACATGGCTCTCAAAACGCCCAGATCATTAAAAAGCTGAATGTGTGACGTTTTGTCAGGCATAATAATAAAATTACAATTGCAGCTCGGCGACAAACAATGCGGGCGAAAATGTGCCAAATCAGCGCAAAAAACTGTGGGGCGTCTCTTAAGGAAATGTCAAATCAAATTTATTGACTTTCATTGTTCGTCGGAATGGAGGCAGTGACTCCAGCTGGCGGCCCGGGCTCATTGAAATGTGAAAAGCCAATGACAGGGGACGAAGGGCTAACAATGTGCACCTTTTTTTTTTTCTATTATTTTCTGTCGCAGGATCCTCTGTCTGGATTCTACTCGTGGCACTTGTCGATTTGTCCTGCACATTTCCCATTCCCAATCCGTGTTTGTGCGCGATTAAAGCGCCGCTTAGCACGTTTGAATGCCTTCCATCCGATTTTACCTCAGCCATTCCGGATTCCCTGAGACAATCAGTAGAGCTTTCTTCTCAGACCCCCTGCAGTATTACGAATTGCACACTGAGAAATACAAGGTGTAAATAAAATCCCTTTGAAAAATCTCTTTATAATTGGTAATAATACATGCCTATCTTATACTTAGAAATAATCGTGTATAATGTTATAAAGGTGTGACTTTATGTTAGAAAACAAAAAAATGTTTACAAAATCGAGTAGCCTTAATATTTAATATTTAAGTAGTATTTCGAACAGCTCAAAATGTGATCTAATTTCTAATCTTAAATGTTTGCGTTTTCAGTGCTTTCAACAACTGCACACAATGCCTGCTGGCAGAGCTATAAAAATCATATGCTTCCTTTCATCGCAAGGGGTTGGCTTTAGTTTTTTGCAGCTACGTCTATAGTCGACTTTCTTTGTGCCCAGCTAAGTTTGACAATTATTTGCATTGTTCAGTGAAGTCGTTTGTTCAACATGCACATGAATCGGTAACTACAACATAAGTGAGTCCCTGGTTATAGTTCACAAGCGGACAAGTTGGGTTTGTTAGTCAGACCCATTCTATTGTGCACTGTCCATTGAATTTGTCGGCTGGGAGAATAGAGCCAATCCTGCAAAGGACAAAGAGTGGGAAGCGATGTAATGGAGTAGTTTTTGGTTCCGGGAGCAGGGATATTTAGCCTTGGTGTATCATAAGTAGGTCATTAATATCATAGCGGAGAATATCTTAGGTAATATTGAAGGAAATGAAAATATAAATATGAAAATTTGCATAAACAATTAAGAACGCTATAATTCATTGCCTCGACTATAAGATACCCGTGAGTCACCTAAACGAATGGCGACTTTCCATGAGTTGCCCACGAGCGCCACCTAGCGGCGGTTTGTCATCCTGATCAAGAATATGTCAACATTTTACGGTCGGAAATGCATCTTTCTGCCTTTTTAACGAATCTAGTCCACTAGATTACTCCACGAGAAAGTACATATACATGTATATATACATACATATCAGTTAGAGAAGCAACAGCTCCTGCATTTTTCAGAAAATCACTTTATAAAGTAGACTGCTGTCTGGCTCAACAACCAATTTTTCTCACACGAATATGCAAAATAAATGTTCTTCGTTTGACCCGAAAGCCTGTTGCCTTTGTCATTTGAAATTCCGGCCAGGATGAAGGCGGCCTGTTGCCAAAAAACGGAGCGAGCTCTTTCAGACTCACATTTTTTCCGTGCCCCGCCTTTTTTAAATGGCTCTTTCCGGTTCCGGTTGCGTTACGTTTGACTTGCCTGCACGTAAATTTCGTGGCATTTTGTGGAAGAAAATTCGGGGGCTGTTCTCCACGCTAACTCGCTCAACTGCTTCACTCATGTCGGCGGTAAATTTTAGTACAATGCATATATAATCTTTTTCACTTATCTTTGCATAGTTTCCTTTTGCTGCAGCCCAGAAACTTTTTACGGTCTGAGGTTAAAAGTAGCGTCATACATTTCCAGCACCTCCAACTCTCCATTCCCCCAAGAACTCGAGATTCGCGGCGCGTTGAGAGCTGTGTAATGAATGAAAAGTTGGCAGGGAGTTGCGAAAGGTTGCAAAAGGTTGCGGTTGCTTCTATTCCGGCAGAAACTGAAAAAGGTGCACAGGCATCGCGATTTTTGCTGAATGGCTTGGTTTAGTTTTTGTACTTGTCGACAATCTTGTGACAGATTTATGGGTTAATTATTGTGAATGGCGCTGCGGAATAGCAACTGGAATATAAAACAACGGGGAAACTAAAATCTCATTTGCTTGATTACACACATGTAGCACTGAAAATCCTGTTAGTCAGATATTAATCAAGTTTCGGAATTAAGTCACAAATTTATATAAAATGTGCCAAAATTCGATATCTTGTTAGCGGTAAGATATCTTTGATTAGTATAAGGCATGCATGCTGTTAACTTTGTTCCTTAGATTAACTGATATCGGTTTTTAAAAATGGAGACACAGCCAATTAAAATTGCAGTAGATCAAGAAATGGCGGATATATTTAAGCAACCCACTGGAGAGGATGGCAATGCCGAGGCCTATGATCTGCATATGGGCATCTTGGAATTGAGTGTCAGTCTTCGTAACATTAATCACGATGTGGAAAAATCGGTAAGTTTCTTAGCCAAAAGCGATACGCCCTTTAACAGTTCCCAAGAGCTGGTATTCCTTAATGATTTTCGGATGCAATTCAAACTGTTGTAGCACGGAAAGGATCCCGAGGAAAGAACTCTTCACGAGACGAGGGGAGATTTGTTTATGCGTCTCTATAAGGAACTGGTGGACATAGAGCCGGATGAAATAAAACGATGCGAGTACCTAACATTTTTCTATGATCTATTCGAGTCCGTCAAACCAAAACTAAGCGGGCTCCAAGAGTCGTTTACTTATCGCATGGAACTAATCGATCGTATGCATGGCCAGGTTCAATGCATACTGGAACGACTCAGTCGAACTCAGAATGCTAAAGAAATATCCTCCGCCTCCAAAGTGAATATTTATTTGGAATCGAAAATGGTCCCAAATGAAGTAGACACACAAAGCTCATCTAGGATTGTGGGCTTGAATGAGGAAAAATGTAATCGAGATAAAAAAGTCGAGCTACGCAAAGTGCATACTGAAAAGTTACATGTTGAAGGTTTTAGTGTAATCGAAAGTTATAGAGAAATAATTAACTGCCCGTTAAAAGGCATTAGATTCGATGATGTCATCACTTTGGTTACTTATAAAAATTTAAGATCTGAACCAAAAGATCCGAAGCCTTCAAAAAATGATTTTCAAGTGGAATCGATCTCACCAGATGTTCATGAAAACAATATTTCTATTGCTTCACAGGAAGATTCGGCTTACATTTCTTTTATGGATCGGGTCTTTCTATCTGTAAATGATTCTTTTGCTTGTGAAGAAACTATCTCCTCCATGGAACCAGTGGAAAAATCTATTCGCAATTTGGAAAGCTGCTCTGAAAATAATGTTGTACTCGTTTCTTCAGTTTTTACTAGTGAGCATGGAATTTATGATGGCACAGACAAAAATGATGAATTGCCCAAGGAACTAAAGGTATCTAAGAGTTCTTTAAATAAAGACTTAATCTTTGATCGGAGAGATGTTGAGAATATTGTTCCGTTTACCAGAAAAGATCGTAGAAAAAGATCGAATAGGTCATAAAATCTCCATAAATTCGGAATTCAAGCCGTATGATTCTCATAGTAGTCCTAAAACTACTCAACCTTTTAACTATAATACTACTGCTACTTGTTCAACGAAAAGTTCGTATAAAGGAGCATGTAAAATTCCGGTCGAAATTCCAGATTTACAGACGGGGTTCGATGGCAATACCCCAGAAATATTTATCCGCCCAAGGATTCGGTCAATAAAATACCCCAAAACAAATCGTGTAAGTCTAAATTGTATAAACAGATTTTTCATTTTTCGTTCACTTTGATTATAAGTGCTATTTATTTAGTTTATTCTCGATGTCGCGTGTTATTAATCTTCTTGAATGGCAGCTTATATTACGTTTTTGGAACAGCTTCCAACCTAAAAATAACGGTCTTCGTCAGCATAGACATTCTCAATCACGTTTAACTCGTTTCGCAGGATATAATTCGCTTGGCAAAAAGAATGCGAGATAAACTTTTTTAAACGCTCCTTCTATAAATAAATTGGATTTTAATTGAAAATTAAGAATCGACTTAGCAATGTTTGCATTGTGCAGCAACTGGAAAAGCCTTTTGTTATGCAAATTTTCCTTATATTGTGGTCCCGTGTGAATGGAAACAGAATGGGACAATCCAAGCGACTGGAGTTCATTTAAATTAAAGAAAATAATGGAAAATTTACTTTTTGGCTTAGGCTTTGGCCAAATGGAATTTCCAGCGCTGAATGAGTTGGGATTTGGCTTCGCAAGAATTGTAATTGCTCTGCGAAAATTAAATCATATTTGTGTCTTCACTTTTCATATTTTTAAGAACAAGTTAAGCCAACACTTTTCTAACAGCTCTCATCTGCATAACTTAATTTTCCAAGAAGCCGCATTCGAATATCTCTGCGCTCGAATCTCTGCCAACGAAATGAACAATGCCGAAAGGATGGCCCAGTCCTGAGCTCTTTTGTTATCTGACAAACACAGCTGGCAGTCATCTCAGCCAGTCCTCCACATATCAGCGACTGAGCTGAATGAATTATAAAGCACAGCCACCCCCTTGAATAAAAAAATAAGAATGTCAAGAAGATAATTGAGCCCAGGCAGAAGGCATTTAATAAACTTGATTGGAACGACAGGAACGAGTGACACTCGGGAAAAGGTTGCCAAGGTCCTGACATGAGTTCGCTTTTCACAAAAAAGTTAACCGGGTGACTTGCGACTTGCTCGACTGATGATTAGGGAAATTAATTTCATAGGAAATTGCCTGCTTCCGATGCGTTTTGGTTGATAAACGAGCCATTTATTATGTATGCTGATGTGTGGGCTACGCTTCTTATGATTGTCATACTCTGGAGACAAAAGAATTCAAAGAGTTAAACAAGTAAGTAATTGTTTTACAACTTAGTGCTAACCTATTTCAGCTGGTAAACTTAAGATGTGTACCTATTTTATTTTATTTATTGTAGGAAATATAATTGGGCCTGGTTGTTGTTCTGCCTCTTTGTATTCCCTGCAATTTTCTTGATAAATTCCAAACCAATGCCCAACAACAGTTTTATCGCCGCGCGTCACTTCAAATTAAACTATAAAATTTATTATTATGCTCGTTGACATACTTGAACTGTTCTAGGCAATATATTTCATTACAGTTGCCATTGTGGCCTACAACATCCCTCCGCACCCCACTCAATGTTATTGACAATTTGTTGTCAGTTCTTCTCGCCCAAACACGAAGCAATTTATGTGGCCGGGTTTGTTGCTTTATGAAATACTTCTCATTACTGGGGGGGACTGTGAAGGGAATGGAAGAAAAAGGTCAGCGGCCGATGGCTGAAACATATTCGAACTATTTTCATTTCAATTGCAAACGGTTTGGCGCAGAGAAATCAATTGAATTGCCATTTCACATATGAAATGGTCATTTGTCAATGGACAACAATTGGAGGGCGTGGTCGCAGCTGGTTTCGATGGTGGATACTGGATGCGGTCACTCAAAATGGCCGCATAAATATGTCCTTCTTGTCCTGGCTGTGTGCACGATCCTCTGGCATTCCACCATCATTCCCGCTCCCCAGTTCCATTGCTAAATTGTTGGTCGTTATTAAATTTCCGCTGCGTTGAGTTCTCATTTCCGTTTCAATGGCCAATGCAGCTGACCGTCGTTGAATGCTCAACGGATGTTGGCCGGGACATAGATACACATACACATTCGTCCACACACACACATATATATATACACACAAACACACGTGCACTATATAAATATTTTTGGTTCTAGATGGATAAACAATACGGGATTGGCCGTTATATTCGATTATTGTTTTTATTATAATTTTTAAGGGCCTACACAATAATCCCCATTTATCCCGTATTTGTGGCGATCAAAAATTGATTCTACAATTCAAATGCATATTAGTGTATGTACATATGTATGTTATGCATGTATGCGGCTTTTTAGCCAAATTGAAACTAATTGAAAAATGTGGATTGCACGAAGCAACGAGAAGAGGAAAGTGGGCAGAACTTTAGCCATAAATTTCAATAAAACGCCATTTTTGGTATTTTCCCTTATTCCATTTGTAGTTCTACTGTTCGTGTGTGTCTTATGTGTTTCATTGGCATTACGTATACGCAGTGACCTCATTTTTTGTTTCGTCAGCATAACTTTTAAATTACGCTTTTCGTGTGCTCTTCATTTGTGTTCGTGCAATCATTAATGTTTGTATAAAAAATAAACTCTCATATAATAATAAGACTGCTTAATTAGATGGGAAACTGCTTAAAAGTTAAGTTACCCTGAAAGACCATTAAATGTTAGGCGTGCGTTTTAATGAAAATATAATGCAATGCCCATCAAAGGGACTCCCTTCGCTGTATCCCAGGGGTCTCCTTAAATGGTTGGCTCTCCTTTGTGGCTGCTGTATCTTGGCCAAAAAGAAGGAATAAATAACAAAATTATTCAAAATTATGGGTCAACTCTCCCCAACTCTTTCCCAATTCTGACTTAACCCTGGTGCGCTTGAACGTCTTACTTCCCGCCTTTATACTTTTATATTTATCCGAGTTTTTATTAAATCCATCTCCTGCCGTTACAAAGTAAAATCTTAGAAAATGCATTAAAAGGCGCCAAGTATATATTAAAATTTCTGTTAGGGGTAGCAAGCTTAGGCCATTTTATTATTATTATTTCACCGACTAAACAAAGCCAGTTAATGGCTTCAGCTGCCGGACAATGGCTGTTTATTTATGCCCTGCGCTAATGGACAGCGCGGAATCGCTGAAAGAGTTTGCTTTGGTGGATATTATTTATTATCGCTGCCACCGCTGCGAACAATAGATGTAATATTTATTCATTTACTTATTGATTTATGGCCTGGCATTTAAATCAAAATCAAGGCAGAAACGCTGAACATTTTATCAATTTGATAAGCCTATTTATTATGATGTTTTCACTTTTCACCGCTGAAGTGGCGTCGCCCCCCCGCCTCACGAAATTTATGCCTTTACTGACCACAAAAGATTCATCTTCATTTCATCTGTCCAAGCCGGTCCTACAAAGGTTCCCCTTCTCCCATCGCCCAGCCACCCATGCTTGATTAGTTGATGACACTTTGTGCGAAAGACTGAACTCTGAAACTGCCATGCATATGGCTCTGTTCACTCAGAAAAAATGCTTGCTTTTAACTATTGTGATCACAAATTCAAAGTAAAAGTCCCCTGCAGGAAAATATTTTATGAAAAGTTGTAAGCGGCTACTTAAACCAATTTGTACTAATATGTAGATATTTAAACATGGGAATCCCTTGGCTTTTTGCTGAGTGTATATGTGTACATATGTGTAGCATCCCTATCCACAACTTTCCCAGGGCGATATGTCTCGCTCTGCGGTGCTTGTGGTTAATTTGATAAATATGCACGCGTTTATTCAAATCAATCAGAGTCAGGCGCCGACGAGAGCTGCTGGAGGAACCTCCTCCTTTGAACATTTGAACAAAGAGGACAAGTCATCGACTTCCCGCTTCTGATTATCTCTACTCCTCCATTCACTCCGCATCTTGTGGTATATAAATTCCAGCTGTTTTCCTCGCACACATGTGTTTGAGTATAATCATCCGCATACGCAGACTTCTCTCGTCGGAGATTTCATTAATGTGCGGTTAACTATAATGAGCCTGGTATATGGAAGCCCGGCTTTGGGGGTTTTGGGTTAGGTTGGGCTAGCTGAAGTCCTTTACCATATCGGTTTGTTCTTAAATAGGCCAATTTATTGTGTTGGAAACTCAAATTATCTCAGCTACATTAGTCCTTTTGGGCTAGTAAACTTGGTGTGCTATTTTACGTGCCATCAGTGGTGGCAAAAACGTATATTGTCAAAATTTTG